ACATCCAGCGCCCATCTACTGGTGGTAACATTTTCAGACATCCAGCATCGTCCCCCTGGTGGTGACAGTCTATGACAGCAGGCGCCATCTATTGGCAGCATGCAGCTATCGGCAGGCTCCAATTTTTGTAGGACAAGATGAAGATGATGCTGCCACCATCCGTGGCGCCACCTACTGGTGGTTGGCGTAAGTGTCGTGTGCTCGATAGATACATCAAGTAGTGACCGTTGTGTTATCCGTGCTGCCACCTGCTGGCCACCGGTGGAGTCAATTCCTGCCACACGTTCCATGCGTCACCCCTCGCGGCAAGTCCGTGGATTTCTGCCGTGCACCGCGAACATAAACAAGAGAGCAGCCTGTGAGCGCATGCGGCAGCAACAACGAGAGGGCGCCACATGACGCGTAACATCTCGATAAAAAGCCACCGCCCACAGTCAAGTCGGGAGCGCGACCAGCCCCCCCCCCTCGCGCGAGCACACTTCCTCCGCCGCCGCCGCCGCTGTAACTGTACACACCAGGTGGCGGTCTCGCAGCTACAAGATCGCGCAGCCGCCGCAGCACTTCTTCTTCTTCTCGATTGTCACGTGTTCGGCCTGCACGACTCCGTCACTAGGGGGCACCACCACGCCCGCCTGCACCTCGACCGTCTGACCGTCCTCCGGCGGCGCGACCTTCGGCGGCGGGGTCGCGACCTTCGGCGGCGTCGTCACCACGGCGACATCCGCCGGCTTCGAGTTGGCGACGGACACCGCGTTCTGCGGCGGCATCTGCTGCGCGGCGTCCGTCTCGTCGCGGCCGCCAGGTGGCGCCGCGTTCACGCGCGCGACGTCGATCCGCGCGATCTCCTCCTCGACAGAGGGCGCCTCGGTCGTCGTCGGCGAGAGCGGCCGCCCGAGCCTGATGGCTTCTATGATGTCATCAGCCTCGTGAGAGAGGTCGCCGTCCGGCCGGAACGGGTTGTAGTCGTTGTTAGGGCTGCAAGAGAAACAGGCACGTAAGCAAGGGGAGCAGAAAAGTATGCAAGAGAAGAACCGAGGTAAAGAAAGCAATCAAGTAATCAAGGAAGAAGTCCAGTAATCAAAGGAAGAAGTCCAGTAATCAAAGGAAGAAGTCCAGTAATCAAAGGAAGAAGTCCAGTAAT